TCACAGTCCGGAGCTGAGAAGGCTGAGAGCAGACACTGGCATCTGGTGCATGACCCATCTGTCCTGACACCGGGCCATCAGCAGAGGCTCAGTCCCCAGCGCCTCCACTTCAGCTGTGTTCACAACTGGGCCTCTGGAACTTCTCACCCTAGCTCTAAACCCAGGCTCCTCAGGTGCCCTCCTGGGTCCCGTCAGTTTGGTGGCATCATTCACCCAGTTCACAGAACTTCCCTTGTGCTCTACCGGGTACAGGGGACAGCCCGACAAGGAGCCGCACGAGGTGGGCCGAGGACAGTGTGGGCGTGGGGGCCTCCGTCCGTGAAGTCAGGGTGCACAGCCTGGCGCAGGTCAAGGTTCTGCCCACCATCCTGGAGATGGGAAGCGTGGTGCCTCTGGGCTTACGTGCTGGACTAAGGTGAGCATCCCCTTGCCCAGTGACTGGCAGAGAGAGGAAGGTGTGGAAGACAACTCCAGTGACTCCCTTTGAACCCAAAACGATTGCTGTGACTTTGACTACTTGGAGACTCATTTCCTTATATTGATATGTGAAAGGCTGGCTAGGATATTTCATGTAATCTCTATAGCTCACAGACAGTCCTGTTTCCTCATATGACAGACAGTCCTGTGTACAGGACTGAGCATGCAAGATGTTAGAGCAAAAGCTCTGGGAATGTCGACTGGGTACTTTGAGCCTCAAGCTAAGAGGCTATGACTCCCCAGGGCACACGAGTTTGCATATCAGAAATCAAAGCAATTGTCCCCCAGAACAATTCCACTGCTACCTTAATTGGGTTATGTACATTGACCCTTCTGTATATCTTTATCTCTGTAATTTACAGAGATGTCCTTCTCTCACCTGCCCAGCCAGCTCGTTACTCACCTAATTCCCCGCTGCCATGGTTTATGTCTGTGGCCCCCAGGCCTCATGAGTTTGCACGTGCATTTGTGATGGTTCATTGTCTAGTGCTTGGATTGATGGTGTCAGTGCTCCACCCACATAGGGGTGGAGCCAGGGTGTGATGTAATGGCAGGAAGAAGGTGTGTCTTGCTCTTTGCTGGTTCCTGCTTGCTGTTTGCAGCCACCATAAACTGCGGCCCCACCTGCCACCCTGCCTTGGAGCCAACTGAGTATGGACCTAACCTCCAAAAACTGTAAGAAATAAACCTTTCCTTTCCCAACTTGGGCTTCAGGTATTTTGTCTCAGCAACAAGTAAAAAGTAACTAAGACACCTGCCATCCTCACTGTCACTCATCCCTGAGCCACCTGTCTTCATAAGAGAATAAATGCCGAGAAAGGCCTAGGACCAAGGCCTTTGTCCGCATGTCCCCATGGGGATTGGACTTAGGACCCCATGGCCCTTAACCTGGAACATGTCTTGGTGTCTTTACTCTCGCCATGGATTGCATTGGAGGTAGCAGATTGGAATTAACTTGCTGGGATTCCAGTAATGTCTCAATGGGATTACAAATATAGCCTTTTGGATTGTGAGGAAAACTAGGAAGAGAATTACAATACTTGGATAACTGAACTTGATATTGGGGTTTACAATAATAGGAAGGGTCCTGAGGACCAGGAAGGGACAAGGACCAAGATGTGACGTGTGTGCGCCAACATGACCGCAGACTCATCAGGACCACAACCTCCCAAATGAGGATGGGTGGTGGAAGAACAAGCCACCCACACTGAGCGGAAGCCCCCAGCTGCAGTGGAAGCCCCCAGCAGCTTCCTGAGGACCCCCTTGTCTTTGTTAGAGTCAGGCTCTCTTGCTGGGCCCCGGCTGGTCTCCTGCTCTGTCTTTAACATTTTTCTTTGTACCCATGTCTGCTATGGAGCGAGGACAGGTTTCTTGTGGGGAGACCATAGCAATGTGGCTCCGAGCAGAATTTAAAATGAGCCAGTCAGCTGTGTTTACCTGTAAGTCTGTCCCAGGCTGAGGCTCCATCTAGAGATGGCAGTGGATTCATAGTAAGTGAACCTCTATGAATCCCTGGTCCTGGCTCAGGCCTATAGTGGCCTGTGAGGGCAAGATAAGGCCACAGCTGCGGACACCTGTCTCCAACCCCCGTTAACTTGATTGAGACTGCAGCTTCCAGGGTCTCACTCCTGCTGTCCCACTCCTGCCATAAATGTCATCATGGAGATAAGACAGTTCTCCTAAATTGGCATGATTTACTACTTGGGGAAGTCTTTGGAGTGACTCCTGAGGTCCTGTTCAGTTCCCAGGCTTCCCTCAGTAATCTTGGCTTGGAAACCTAATAAACACAGGCGGCTCAGAGCAGCTCTTTGTCTCAGCGCCCTGAGTGTCAAACTCCGCAGAGGGCTTTGATCCTCCTGGAGCCCTAAAAATCACACCACTTGTCTCACTTATTTAAGTCTCCATCACACACTGGAGATCCTAACAATGCCCCTCCGGCTGGGCCAGGCGGTGCCACCCGGTCCGAGGGGCATTTCCTGTGCCACTAGGTGGGGACAGTGGCAGTGCTGGGGGATGGGACTTGCCCCACATCTATATGCTGGTTCCCCGCAGCCTGGCAGCAGTGGCCTCAACCACAGACATTTCAATAAATAAGCAAAGGACCCTGAAAAGCCTGGCTCTCAGCTTTGGATCCCCTGGACGCCCAGGAACTCATCAGCAGCCACAGATCCCACTCCCTGGGAGCGAATCGGCAGCCAGAGGGGCCGAGGCCGGCAGATACTGATTTTCCTCCTCAGTGCACCCAATCTCTGCTTCCCTTCCACAGGCGTTTATGCGCCTCCTGTTAGTCCCAGCTCTGGGACCTTGGGAGGATCACAGTTGCCACCTCCAGGAACCCACGGTCCAGCGGACTGACAAGCTTATGTAACAGCACAGTACAACATCTGAGGTCGCTGCAGGGTGGGAACTGGGGGGTCGGCACGAGCTGCCGTGTAGAAGGAAACAGACCTTCCGAAGTGCACAGGTTGCAGACTTGGGCTTTGCCCTGGTGTCCCAAAACCACTCAGAGCCTTCTGTACCCACCCTAGACCAGCATACCTGTGATCCTTACAGTCTCAGGGGAACGAGGTAGCCACAGCCACTGCCTGCTACCAGTGCCACATGGGAAGGTGAGGTACAGAACAGGGCCCAAGGATTGCAGTTCACACAGAGGGAGGAGCACAACCTGTGCCATGCATACACCTGCCAACAGGTCCCAGGGCTGCTGAGGTCAGAGGACAGGATGGGAAGTTCCCTCCCCTGCAGGCCGCGGCCGGGGTCAGCGGTTACTTGGCCAGAGCCAGCCTCCCTGAGATCACCATGTACAGACCTTGGGATACAAGTGGCTGGAGCCTGGGAGGTATGCATTCTGCAAAAGGTAGGGAAAGGCTGAGTCAGGGAGGTGCCAAGCAAAAAGAGCACAGGTGCGTGGTGCTAAGTTCTAGTCAGATGACCAGGCACCAAGGAGAGGACTCAGTGCAGAGGGTGAGGTCTCTGTCTCAGACCTGTCACTCTGCGGGCACAGGGGTGAGGGCCCCACTGAAGCTCAGACCTCAAAAGGTACTCCAGGTGACAGCTCTTCCCTGTGTGCCACTGGTGCCTCGGTAGGTAGGGTGAAGGGCCAGGAAGGGAGCGGGGAGGGAGCAGCTCTCTCTGCTCCCCAGACCCTGAGCAATGCACCCAACCACCAGCCCAGGGCCACTCAGAGCGGGAATCTGCTACAATGTGAGTTCAGTGGTCCCTGCAGAGCAGCTGACAATCCAGCCCTGTGAGCCACTGCTGGGCCTTGATGGGGGCACCAGGAGCACCCCACGTGGAACAGGGAGCACAGGGCCCTGGCTGCAGCAGGCGAGTTCAGGACAACAGCAGCTGCCTTTCCTGGTACCTGCCGAGCACAAATCCCTCCAACACCTCCTCGACGCCAGATCCACCAGTGCCGGGGAGAAGCTGCTCACACGTGAGGTCCTGGCAGGGCCTGACCTGCGGGCCCATATCTCCCTTTTGAAAGTGACCCCTAAAATCAGAAATGGGGGCAGGAAGAGTACGACAGGGGAGGAAAGCGCACACGGGTGCACTGTGCGTTGGGTACCACTGTGGGCCACTGGGCTGGCTCCTGGGGACACCAGTCAAGAGCCCCTCCCTGCCAGGACGCACAGTCTCCCATGCCAGCCAGGAGCAGGACACCTCACAGACATGGGGTACAGTGCTTCTGTGCCACATCGGGGACAAGTCGGTCTGGAGTCTCCACGTACCGTATCTCAGACTCAGGAGGTGTCCCTGTACCCCTCCTGCCCGAGCCCACACATATGCTGGTGCACAACAGGGTCTGAAGGGCTTTCCTTCTGCACTTCGCACCCCTCCTGCCCCGCTGCTGCCACAGCCCCAGAGTCTCCAGCCACGCAGCCAGAGCCCGCCCCTCCCCACTCTACGCCAGCAGAGCCTGCCCCCGACCCAGGCCAGACAGGGGTAGGGCAAAGCCTTCTGCCCCAAGGGCCAGGCCATCTGCTTCTGTGCCATTTTCCAGGACAGAGTCACACACCCTGTGCGGGTGGGGTCATGGGGTGAGTGCCAGAGAGACTGGGGGACCCAGCCTGGCCTGAGCACAGGCTCTGCGCGACCCTAGCGCGGTGCCAGGCCTCCACACTGGCCTCACTCCGTGTCTCTGCCACCTGGGAGCTGGAGGGCTTGAGACCCACCCGCCCAGTCAGCCCGTGAGGACAGCACAGAGCCCAGAAGTGCGCTCCTCCTCAGAAGGGCTGGTCCCAGTGGGCTTGGCCACCCTTCACAGCCAGAGGCAGTCTGGGCCTCAGGTGCGGCCGGGTGCAGCAGATGAGAAGGGACCCCTCGCTGCCAGCCCGCGCTCTATGGATTTGTGCACACTGAACGGCTGCCAAGGAGCTGCCTGGCTATGTGTCCAGGTCCCCCCAACCAAGGAGCCCACACCTGGAAGCCCATGGCCCACTCACAAAGGAGGGAAGACCACCTCGCGCTGCCGAGGCACTGGGGTTGCAGAAAATGGTTTGCTTCTTATTTTATTACATCAATGGCTTGAAAATTTTTATTTAATTTCAGCAAATATTGGAAATAGAAAAATGAATTCTGCAGAATTCCACAAATAAATTCTTCCAATTTCCACTAACAAATGTTATCATTCAATGGCTAAGCAGTTATAATGCTATGAACATTCACAACAATGAATGTGCTGAAATAGAAAACAGGCAGAGAGACGTGAAAATATTACTTACAACAGCATTATTACAACGTATTTCTTTAAAATTTCGACATGGATTTTTTCACTTCAAAAGATATACAGCATTTCCATTATATCTGCAAACTTAACCTTATACATCTTTTAAAATCTTGAAAAATTTTTAAGCAATCTAAAAAGCACTTAGCAAAGTTGGAAGTCTACATACGGAATACTCCACTCCAGCATCGATTTCCATGGAGGAGGAGGGGCTGTAAACACTTACTATCTTACAACATGCATAGCCGATCCTGACCTTCCTTCTTCTGAATTGTGACGCTCCCGCTATTGTGCTTTACTACAGAGCCCTGGCGCGGGCAGCACCGCACGGTCGACTCCAGTCCTGACTGCCTGCAGTTCTTCGGAGGCGGCGGGGTGCTGGAAGCTGGAATCCTGGGCTCACTAGATCAGAGGCGGGCACAAAGAGAGGGCACAGGGCGAGACAGGAGAGGGAAGGGGAGGAGAAGGAGCAGAGGCGGAGAGGCTCTTGCTGGAGTCATACATCTTTCCTTTGCTCGCAGAAAAGCAGGGATCCAGTTAGTGTAATGCACTGTTTGGCTTCTTTTTTGGTGTGCAATTGTACCAATAGTACATCTGATACTCAGAGAGACGCAAACAGGGTAGAGCTGGAACTTAAAGTGACAATCAGCACACTTAAGAGTGGTTGGGAGAGCTGAGAAATTTAACATCGACAGAAAAGAGCTGCTTCACGAGTCCACCACAGTAAGCTTCTGAAACTTTCTCATCTTTGTTTCTCACTAGAGGCCTGTGCCTGCAAACGTGTCCTACCGGTTAAACCTGGCAGAAACTGCTCGGAGGACTCGGGGTCCCCTGAGGGTGCGGACAGCACGGAGGGGTTGAGTACACTAACCTCGCTGCTGCGCCAGCATCTGCCCGCCTGAAGAGCCGCACTGGGGAGCTGGTCGCTGCGGCCGCCCAGCCAACACAACATTCAAGTAATGATGGATGAATGGATAAATGAAAACAATTCTCACCTAACACTTTACAGGTCTACATAAAATTAAATAAAGCAAACTTTTAATGCATATCAATACAATTTATATCTTTTAGGATCTCTAAACTAAAAGTTAAACTATTATTTGCGTCCATGATACTATATTTTGCACAATAACTTATACTTAGGAGAATTTTTTCCACAAAAATATATATAATTATGACATTCACATTGATAATTTTAAGAACACAAAGCTTAAGTGACATTTCACCTGAAGCAGTTATCACATCCCAAACCCAGCCCACCGCGCACCAATTCTTGGTATGTTAGAGTTGTCACATAAATAAGACCAGAGGACTCATCACCTGGCTCTGGAAGCAAAGCGATTTCTTGCATTTATGTAACTGCCAAGACATGCAGAGAGCAGCGCCTGGAACACAGCGCTACCGGACACTGGCCTACAGCATGGGCCACCAGCAGAACCCGGGCTTCAGTCGCCCTGCGCTGCAAGCTGACCAAGTGGCTGTGAAGCCAGGGCTCCTCATGTGACCCTTCAGGGCTGGAGGGTGCCCAGTGCCAGGGACAGAAGGGGGACAACGCACGACACAGTCTGGGGCCTGGTACATATCACCTGTAGATGAGCATCGTTTCCAGGCTCTGCCTGAAGCTCTCATCTTGGGGAGACTGGCGAGTACAAAGAAAGAGAACCAGTGGCAGGGCAGGGCCAAGCAGGACAGACAGCCTCCACGGCCGTCTCTGACTGCTGCCGCCACCGCAGGGCCAGGGCCACGAGTCCAGCCAGGAAGACAGCGGCTGCAGTGCGGGCCTCGGTGCCCACAGGCTGGCTCTGCCTGCACAGTCCCACCAGCCCCCAGTCACATGCAAGCTTGCGGGAAGTCAAGGAAACTTGCCTGGTGCTAGTGTCACCCTGCTATCTGCAGGGGCCTTGGGCGGTGACATGCTGAGCGGGACAAGGTGAGGGAAGTCCCTGTACTCCCCCGCTTTGGAATGACCTTTCCCAGATGTCTGAAACGAAATATACAAATGCCAAAACCTAGGGTCCTGGCTGAACCTCTTTCTAAAGAGAAAATCAGCTGAGACAAACACACACACAAAAAGAAAAAAAAGAAAAAGAAAAAAAAGCAAGGTGCTTGGGAGTCAAAACACATCAAATTCTTAATTGCATATTTAAAATTCTTAAGAATTCTGTTTATGCCTTAAAGCATCTGCATTTTTTCTTTTTGGTATTAAAAGCAGGAAAAAAAACCTCAAATGATGCCAACAACCACCAAAGCTCCTCCCACATCTCCAGCATCTGTGTGGCTGGGCGAGAGAAAAGCCATGGGCGCAGCAGGCTCAGCACACTGATCAGAAAGCCCACTGGACCTGGCCGACCCCAGCGCACTGATCACAAAGCCCACGAGACCCGGCCGACCCCAGGCGTCACAGACCAATCTGCAGGCGGTTTCTTTTTGCTGCAGTCTCCCTAGACCAGCACGCCGCTCCCTGCTCTGTCCTGCATTCTACGAAGGGGATGAAAGGGATGGTGTCTGTATTTCACATCAGCACTAGAAGGACGCAAAGGGTCACGCGGAGTGACGCGCAGCAGACCAGGTGCACCACGGGGATGGAGCCTCAGAGGGTTGCTCCCACCCAGCCGCCGCCGCTCTCCTCAGCCCTGGGCGCCAAGCTCCTGTCTGCACAGCGGGAGCCGGCAGAGGCGCTCCCTGCCCACCTCGATGTCGTCATCTTTGGCAAGCAATAAACTTTAAATAAGACACTTGGACAGAAAAGGGATCGAGAACATGGTTGCCAAAAGGAGAAGGCACCAATTCCGAATGGGCAAGCACCAGGTACAGTGATATGGGCCAAATCTCTCGGACTTGGGTGGTGGTAGTGGTGGCGGGGATCAGGAGGAGGGGTGCAGCCACCCTGGGACTGCAGGCTGAGGCTGAAGGCAGACAGCGTGGGGCCCAGCATTCCCTGTAAGCTACCGTGTCCGAGGACAGTTGCTGTGAACGAGCTTTTAAACACTTGGGAAAGGAGAAGGGGAGCGATGTAAGCCAACTAAATTCACAAACCATAATTCCACCCTGCACTTGGGAACTGAGTTGCATCAGGATGCTTGGCACAATAAGATTAGGACTCAGTCTGCCAATGACTTCCAAAGGAGCATAGTAGTACTTAGGGGGCCGCCCCAGAAAGAATGAGAACCCGTTATTCTGCAAGTGACATCGCAGGCCATGCAGGTGCTGAGTCGGGCCTTCGGAGACCACCTGCCCTGAAGCTGCTGCTGGGAAGCTGCCATTGGTGGGTGCAGGGCTCCAAGAGGGGGCGGGTCCCAGAGTCGTGGGATGCAGGTGTGGGTTCCCCAGCACTGAGGCAGAGTGAGAGATGCGGTGCCGACACGGAGGAACGAGCGGAGAATTAAGGCAGATGGAGCACAGGACTGAAGTGTACGCCTTTTTGGTAATAGCTGCTTGTCCACAGAGATGGGATGCAGATGGCGAGGTGATGTCTCGTGATACCTGATATCCTGGGTAACCTGGAGTCCACACCAGAGTTCAAAGTGACCGACGTACTCATGAGGCGGACGCGTATCTGACGTCAAGGACAGAGGCCGCCTGAGGAGAGGGAGAGGGAAGGAGGCATCAGGGTGCAGGCCAACGCTCCCCCAATTGTCCTGGTGCCCCAAAGCTGGGCTGAAGACAGGGCAGGCTGGGCGGGCTGCGTGTGCCCCAGCCTTTCCTGAGCCAGAGTCAGCCTGCCAGCCAGTGGCAGTGCCACCGCCTCCTGGCAGTAGTGCGCAGGGCTGAGGGCAGCAGCAGCTCAGTGGCCCGAGTCCCAGCTGCAATGACCGCAGCTATGGGCCCACCTATGAGTGGCCAGTGGCTCTGCTGAGGAGTGGGGTCCTCATTAGAGCCTCACAGGTATTTCTTCACTTCCTACCTGCAAAGCGGGCCAGTGCCTTACTGCTCCCTCAGCCCTCACAGGGCCTCACCGCTGGGCAGCAACTGGACTACAATTCAGAAGCTGAAAGCACTGGCCTTCAGGTGAAAAAGCAGTTTACAGAGCTGCCGCTTGTTCAACCAGGAGTCTTCTGTCTCACCAGCAACACATCCAATTGTGCATAATTTTAACTCTAGCACCCGTGGTGCCCTTTTCTTGGCTGCAAGGCTGGAATCACCCCCTCTGGCCCATGCCGGCACCCCAAAGACCTCTGGGCTAACCTCCCTTTATGGCTGGAAAGAAGAAACGTCTGCAGGGGGCAGACAATTCTAGACATTGCTAAGGCTTCTAGGAACCATGCAGTCCTCGGCTCTGCATGCTCTACCAGAGACCCGACCCCCCCACCCCACCACAACATGAGTGAGACCACCAGAGCCAGTCCTGAGCTCTGCCTGGGTAACAACCACCTTGCACATGTGTGCATGCTCTTGGGTGCAGACTCACTCCTGCAAGCTAACATGGGGAACAGGAAAGTGGGGGCAGAGGGGCAGGCAGACGCTGAAAGCACCATGAAAGCAGAGGGGTCAAAGAAATGTTGCTGTGGGCATGGGGGACACAGCTGAAATGACCAAAGGGAACAGAGGATTAAAGCCAACTCAGGCACAGCAGCCTCGCCCTCCTAGGTTGGTTGTGGTTCTTGAAGAGCACGCTGGGGACGCAGATTCGGGAGATTGTCCTGCCTCAGGTCCACATGTCCCCACACAGCCTCATGGGGCCCTAGACGGCTGGGCCTGCAGTGAGTGCTGCTAGCCTGACTCAGGCTGAGTGCTGGGCTCCTGGGCACCGGGATTAAGGGTGTGAGTGCTGCCAGCCCCGAGCAGCCTGGGCAGGACCGAGGGGTCGAGAGGGCTTGCGTGCTTTGCTGCCTTCTGCTCGCCTTGAACCGTGTGTCACTGCTCCTCTGCAGTGCCTGCCTGCACCCACCCTGCCTTGGAGCCAGGCTTACGGGCTAAATCTCTACAAACTGTGTGTTCCCCTTTAACTCTGGGTGTTGGCTATTTTGTCTCTGCGACAAGAAAGTAACTAAGAGATTGAGAAGCTAGGAACTGCTGTTTGCTGAGAGGTCTGGGCTGGACAAGCAGTTGCCAGCCTTGTGGATGGCGTGAGCAAGATGCTTTTACTCCTGCGTACCCGACTATAGCAGCTGGCCCTGGGCTGAGCTCCACACACATCCCATGGGAGCAGGGGGAGGCCCACAGTGGGGTAGCCAGGCAAGCCAGCCTGCACAGGAAGCAGGGAGGGCAGTTATCCAGGACATGACTACATGTCAGCCACCATCGAGCATCCTGACAGCATCAGGACCTAGAACTGTCCCATCAACACCTATGCCAGCCAGCCCCAAATAGTACAAAGGCTGGAACAGCTCAGCAGGTCGCAGACCTGCAGCCCAGCACCTCCCGCCTCCCCCCGTCCTCCCGGCACGGGGGAGCTCTGGCCTCATGGAGTGTTTTCTGGCTGAAGGAATCCAGGTGAAACGAAGGACTTGCTTGGGAACAGATGCGTGAACAATAAATGGCGACAAGATGGGCTGGCGTCTGCACATGTGTAAAGGAAGGGTCCGGGCGGCAGTGTTTCGCCAGCCCAAGGCATGTCGGGCAGAGCAGCAGGCGGCCCTGCGCCGGCTCACGCTTACCTCATCCTCCTCGTCGGGCATCTTGATGGCACCGTCTGGGGACTTGACGGGCTTCTGGTTACTGGGTCCATTGGTCTCCTCTTTGCCGTGCTCTGCCTCCCACTCCTGTAAAACTTCGTCTATGTTGAAGCGGCGTCGGTAATTGACAAAAAAGTTCTTGACCTGCACCACTGACTTATTCCCAATCACATCCGAGATGGCTTGGAAATCTCGGCCATACTTCCTGATGGCTGAGGGCAGGAGACAGTTTTGGTTTGGTTTGGTTTTTTAATTTAATAGAAAACAAAAACAATCTTATAAAACACAACAGAGGCCTAGTCCTTCAGTCTGGTAAGAAAGCGCACAGGTTTTCCTGGCAGGCACCGCCCACTGGTCACACTGTGGGAAGATGGTCTGTGCACACTCTGGGAAACGACGTGTGAGCAGCGAGACTCCATCACCTGGAAATCTCACCCCATCGTACCACAAAGCGGAGCCTGCGGAGCCCCAAGGCATGGTCCCAGGTCTGGACCACCCCTACTATGCATGCTGATCATCTGGGCAGAGCGGTTCAGGGCTCAATAAGCAGCTGCTGAGGTGTAATGGTCACGTCCTGAAAATGTGGTGCTCTGACACCGACTTTTACAACTTGTGGGCAAGAGGAGAGAAAAACAGAGGCCGCCCAGGAGAACAGAGCTGTGTGGCTAAGCAACCCTCATGAGAAGATGAGAAGAGGGTGACCGGGACTCTGGGCCATTGCAGGCCAGCCCTGCTTACCTTGCACGGCGAGAAGCTGCTCCTCTGTGGTCCAGCGCGCATTGCACTTCTGAATGACCTAGACAGTGGGACAGGCCATCAGCACGTGACACTCAAGAGACAAGCACATCCCCGGGAAAGGACCCAGTGCCCCCATGTCATAACTTTCACATGCACTGGGCTGTCCACAGCTAGGACACCAACCAGGACTGAATTCGGGTGAGACTTCTGAGATGGTGAACGTGACCCTACCTCTGGAAGTCGGTACGGTTCTATTCCACCATCAAGCTTTTCTTTGAGAGCACTGTTGGTCTGTTTAATATTCTGAATCTAAGAAGGAAAAATATTTGTCTTTGATAAACGAAACCTTTCAGGAAAGCATGAGAAGAGAACTAAAAAAATTACAAGAAACAACAAAACCAAGAGCCAAGAAGTTCCCCTTCTCTCCTGTAGCCAAAATACAAGTACCTGTAACAGATGCTCTCCCCTGCATCTTGAGGGACAGTGAGTGGGGAGCTGCTGCTCCCCATACGCAGCTGCCCATGTCGCAGAGAGGCCTGCACTACCCGGACCTGAGCAGGGGCTTGGCAGATGGCTAAGGGGCAGAGTTCAGGCGGCAGGGAGAGCACGCGGCAGCTGGCGGCCCACGCCGCACCGTCCGCGCACACCACAGTCTGTGTGGGCAGAGGCTCTGGGTGCAGACACCCTCAGTGGGGCAAAAGGGAGCCGCATGCCAGAGAGTTCCACAGGCTTACCCTGGACGGGCGGCTCCGGCCTGTCTTCTCACAGCCTCTTTTCTACAGACACAGGCTACTCAGCAAGCAGCAAAGCCCTGCTTCTCATTGCCCCGTGAGGTTTCTGTGCCACGCCTGGGGCTCTGTGAGGAGCACCACATGGCTCAACGACAGCACAAGCAAAGAGAAAAGTAAGCGAAGGCAGAGGCCGATTTTCCAAGTAAAACACAAGGGCTGTTCATAAGAAGTTGTTCCCCGAAGACCAATTGCTGCTAGCAAAGGAAATGGAGGCCGCGGGACGGGGAGGGAGGGAGGGAGACACAGGAAGGTGCACAGAAGTCGCCCTGCGAGCAGTGTAAGGAGGAAACTGAAACCCGCTGTCATACACTGTTTTGAAAAGGCACAAGTCAGAGGAAGATAACCTGGCAGGGGAAGGTCTTGACAGAGTAACATATGCTCTCCGACCTGCGCTGTGCAGAACGGAGACAGCAGGGGTCCCGAGGCAGAGCTGGCTGAGGCCCCTCTCACCAGTGTTGACCAGATGGCACCAGGGATCCAGGGCACGCTTACCACATGCCACTGACATGCTTCTCTCGGGCATCCGCCTCGCCAACCCTGGAATACTGCACACCCTCAAGTGCCACCCTCCGTACTCCAGCTGGCCCTGGGTGTACACCGCCTTGTGATTGAACCACGTGCCCTTCCCAGGAGGCTGGCATGCTCACCATGGCACTTCCTGTTCTAAAGCCATGGGGGAAGCGTGCAGCTCAAATGCACAGCACTCACCAATTCTGCACCAGGCATGAGAACGAAGTGCTCCGGAGCTGCACCTCTGACCCCGGGCACCTTCCACACTACAAACACCCCAGGGTTATAGTCAGAACGAGAGCAGCTATAGCTGCCAACCCCACGTCAACCATCAAGAAGCTGAATGGCAAAGAAGCCGAGTGAGAATCAGGACCCAAAGTAATCAGCATTTAAAAGAGCGCATGGCCAATCCTTGAGGAAATGCACATGGCCAATCCTTGAGGCCTGGTCCCTTCCTGACCCGTCAGTTGGACACAGCCCATGTCCTCTACCACTGTTTCTGCTGTCATTCCACTCCCTTCTCCCAGACTCCAAACGCCACAGTGCTCTCCGCAAGCAAGCCGGCCCCACTCCGGGTATGATATGGGTCATGGTCACAGGCGCTGTGAGGGACCACTGCTAAGGGACTTGGCTCGTCCTGCAACAGGGACAGGGATAGGCCAGTTAGTTCCACCTCCACCCCTTGGCCTGGACAACAGCACTGAACGACAAACGGTGCAGTGGGACTTCTGCTGCTGCCAGAGACAAACACTCTAGGTGTCCTAGTTGCTGCTTTTCTGCTGTCCCCAGAGGAGTGCTTCCTGCCGGGTAAGCGGTCCTGGCCAGAGCGGCTGTCATGCTTGCTGGATGTACCTGACGCTGTGCCCTGCTCTGCTCCCTCGAAGTTGATATCTAAGCCCTCTTCAGAATCACCAACCCCCTGGCGACTGTCTTCCACGCTGGGTATACCTGTCCCTGACCGTGCTCTCGGAAACCAAAGCAGCTTTTCTCTCACGCCAAGGTCCACACTGTCAGTGTGGAGAGGGGGCCTCTTTCCTCCTCCACAGGTGAGCTCTGGTAACTGTCCTGGGCTCCCTCGGCAGAGGGCAACCAGGAGATGAAAACCCAGCCCTCATTGGGGAGCTCTGCCGCCAGGATCGAGCTGCACACACTTGGGCACAAAATGCCATAGCTGCTGGCCGTGGGTGGCCACATGGAGCCCCTACAGCACAGCCCGTCCACACCGTGGGGAACAGTGTTACGATGTACAGCAACCACAGTTATCACTGAGGACTTCAGAGAGTCTTCGGACCAGTTCATAGTCCGGCGTCTTTCCGGCTGTGGCCAATCCACCCCCCTCACCCCACAATCCAGTTAGGGAAGGTCCCCTGGGCCCAGGGAAGGACAGGAGTGCACTGTGCTGCAGCTGCTGAGAAAGGAGCTGGCCTCCCTTCTGGGGTCACGTGAGGCCTGGTTGGAGTCACCTTCCTGAAGCAAAATGAGTATGTGCCATAGGCCCCACTCTTCACCTGGAAAGTGACAGCTGGCCTCCCGCTAGCCTAGCAAGGCAACCAGCACAACCCAAAACAAAACGTAGGCCATGACCAGTGGATGGCTTTCTGGAACTGAGTCCCAGAGGGAGGGAGGGAAGGACAGACACAAAGTAATGAAAGGCCAATGCCACACTGTTGGGCTGAATTTCCCAAGTGAAGGCACTGTACAATCTGATGAGGGATGAGGTCTTTTTACACAACAAGTACAGACAACTACAAAGGATAATTTAAGATGCAATATCCTTTACAAGGCCACCAGAAATAGCACTAAGTACCTAGGGATAACACTATTAAAGATGGCTAGGCCCTGTGCACAGAAAACAATAACAAAACACACAGAACAAAGACCTGATGGATGGGCGTGAATAGAAACCATGTCTGCTCACTCAGCAATACAGGTGCTAACCTGACAGCCACAACTCCAGCCAACCAAAACGCTAGTGGAGCAACTGAGAAAGTGAGTCCAGCGCATGCGGGAATTTATAACAGGAAGGAGACGACACTGCCAGGCTCGCACTGATGGCAGGCACAAAACCAGGACGACGCATGGTGTGGAAGGGTGAGCACAGGGACCAAGGAACAGGGTGCCATGGCCTATGCAGACACTGGACTCAGACCCAGAGCCTGCTGCTCTGAGGTGGGGAGGCAGCCTTCCCTGTAAGAAGTACAACCAATGGTCAGACAGATGCCCAATCTTTCAAAATCCCACACATGACAAAAGGACAGGGAACAGTTTTACAAGACAAAAAGGTAGGAAGAAAACAACTCAGCACCTGATAAAGAACCACAAATCAGTGAGAAAAAACGTAAGACATATAAAAGGAACAACGTCATGGGGTTAGTCTTGATATAAAATCCAAAATGGACAAAAGCACTGTGCTTTTTAAGTCCAAACAGTGGTCGTCTCCTGGGGGTAGGCGGGTCCCAGATCAGGGCTGAGTAGGCTCTAGGGGCTACGGCCATGTCTTGCTCCAGAGCGAGGGCAGCTGCACGTGTGGGGTGTGCACAGCGATACATGCAGTGTGCAGAGGTGGGAGCACGTGCACACACACAAACAGATGTACTGCGCAGCTACACGCCATCTGTGGTGTGTGCAGTCTTCTCTCCAATTTAAAAGTAAATTAAAGCCCCCATTGGGCTGGGCTGTCTGGCTCCTTGCAGAAGAGCACTCCTGGGCTGCGTGGTGTGAGCAGGGCGGCGCCAGGCAGTACCTGTCGCTTGATGGAGACCAGCTCCATGTCCAGCTGTCGCAGCACCGTGGTAGCAGCAGTGGCGTTGGCAGAGACAGCCTCCACGTCCTCTTGAGAAAGGAACATTCCTTTTGGAGGTTTCCTTTTTGCTCTGTTTTTAGCTTGTGTGCTGTGTTTTTCTTTTTTCACCTGAGGAACTGCCTCAGCAGGGGGCACCTGTATGATATACACATTTCGTAAATAAAGCTAGAAATTAAAATGCCAAATGAATAATGATAAACATATATTCTTAAAAGGCCCCAAACAAGCTACAACAAACCCCAGGCCCTATTCCAATTGCCTCAATATATCCTAAAAGGCGCTCAGGCAACAGTGAGCACCGTGGCTCGGGAGCCGGCTCTCCTGGTCACAGTGTGCTGCTCCTCCTGAGCAGGGACATCCTCAGCCTTCCTCTGCTTCCTGCACTACCACAGGAGGAAAGGAAGATCACTATTCTCTTCTGATCTTACGGCCATACAGAGGCTTATTTATGTGACACAGAATAAATGAAGAGCAGCTATGTGTATCCGAACAGTGGTTTCTAGCAATACTCATCATAGACGACCACAGATGGAAAAAAAATGATTCAGCACATACAATGGACTGCAATTCTTCAAATCTCTGCATTAAGAAATACTCCTCAGGGCCTGGGTGCAGCTCAGTGTCAGACCACTTCCTAGCAAGTATGAGCCCCTGTGTTCAATCCCCCGCACTAAGGAAGGAGAGAAAAGTAAAACAGAAAACAAGAGCAGAAACACAAACTTCAGTATGGTGGTATGACTTTGCAAATCACTTCCTTTTGGAAAACACCTAACTTTTGGGGCAGTATTCAGGTTGCAGTGCCATGGCAGAGGGCTTGTCTGGCACATGGGAGCCGAGGCTGTGCTGCCCAGGACTGCTATTTTAAAAAGGTAACTCCTGGGACAACTCATCACTTGCCCAATCCCCCAAAGTACCATCATTTAAAAATGCCTGACAGCTGCTAAGTTTTTAAAGTGCTGTCTCCAAAACCACAACTTTCAGAAATAAAATACAGCTAAACCTTGGCAAGCAAGAAGAGATTAGGTTTAGCTGGTAACCATTTTTAAAAGTTTTTACAGTTCACAATCTAAAGTTAAAAGTACATTCAGTTTTTGTTTCACACTTTGAAAGACTGAGATAAAAAGAACATGAACTATGGTGGCAACGGTAACTTCTTAAACAAGTGGTAACACAATATAAGCAATAAACTCCACTCTGCACAGCACTCTGCTGTTTAATAAGGACCACCTCTGACTATGTGTCTGTATAATAAATTTTATACTTAAGCTAAGACTTAACCAATTTTTTGAATGAGAAAATGCACCATATAAATAAGAATTATAGTAAGTGACAAAATCATTTTCTTATTCATTGAAAATGGGTCCACTAAAGAACCTAATAAATTCCAACACATCAAAAATAAAATTCAGTAGAAACCCCACCCCAATTTCCTTTCCCAAACACTATCTCAGTTAACCCTGAGGGTCTTATTCCCCAGGCAGGAACAAAGACTGATATCCACTTTGGTGATAGGTATTAAAAGAGGCCTTAGAAATGCATACAAAACATTGGACACCACTATTCAGCATCCCAAAATTAGTTCTCATCAGATAAAGTGCACAAATACGTAGTTATGTGACCATCAACTCAGCTGTTTATACCAGCAAAGAGCAAGGCGGATAATCAAGCCAGAAATTTACATGTAATCAATTACTTGTAGGACTCCTATGATGAATATATAGGATATACACATATAAAGTATATCTGACAAAAACATATCCAAGGTAAATTTTAAAGTTTTTAAAAATTACATTGTAAGAACCCCTTTTTATTACCTTAAAAAGCTGAACAGATTCATACTCATGCATGCATATGGACATACACATTTTACAGAAAAAGTGTCTGGAAAGTTACCAAAATGTTAAGTGTGACAGCAGTGTAACTAACTTTATAATCTCCTTCCTTGTGTGTTTAGCTGTATGCCTACTTTGCCCGTAGGAAGCATGAGTTAGTGCTGTGATTTTAAACTCTAGGCCCTTTAAGTTTAAGGAACTCACACTTCGGAGAATAGACCACAGGCCTGGTCTTCAGAAAAACACCTGCATGAACACATGAAAAAGTCATACAATTGTAGGGCTCAGGGCCCCTGGAAGCCAGAGGTGAGATCTCTGGTGCCACGGTATGGGGGCACAAGTCACGCCGGCTGTGAGGAGGACTCCCACTAACACAGGTCACCCTTGCTGACTCCAAGAAGCATCTGCTTGGCAGTGCCCCTTTCTCTTGGGTTCTACAGAGTAAAGCTAGCAGTGTTCGCAAAGTCCTAACAAGATGTTTTCTTGATAAATAAGATGCTTGATAAATAAAGACAAAGTGTCAGAGGATGGTTTTATTTGTGGAACTCCCAATAAAATGTGTTTGCCTAAATAGTACTAGGGGAAGATACCTCCTTCTTGCTTTCCTTGTTTTGATCAACCTCAATGTCAATGGGGTTACTTCCATTTGTCTCTTCCAGCTCATCCTCACTGGAAGACAAGAAATGTTATTCCATGTTAATTCTATTCCACATATATATAAGCAATACACCGATTCAATGGCAGACTTAATACAAAGTCACTGTATGTTTTTCAGACTAGAGAGATAATGTTTTTCTCTCTCTTTTTTTTTTATCGGTACCGGGGATTGAACCCACAACCGCCTGCTTGCAAGGCAGGTGCTTATGGCTGCTGAGCTAAATTCCCAGCCCCGAGATAACACTTTTCTAACTCAAAGAGAGCACCACCAATTCCAGAAGCTCCGTTAGAATGAAGTTCCCACAACAGGAACGAATCTGCCAACGAGCAGAAGGCCACCTTTGAGTGCCTACTTTCTACTCTGTCACACACGTCCTAAGGCTTTTGGGTGGTCTGTGTAGCTGATGTTTTATAATTAAAAACAAAAACGCCTCCCACAATAGAACCCTACTTTAAAAACTCAAGCAGCCTCTTAGTTCAAACTGATTGGACAGCAGTGCAACCCAGGCAGGCACACATCACCAGCCACTGCTGCACAGGGAGAAGGCCTGGCCAAAGGTGCCCAGAGTAGAGCCTGGGGCAGAGGGCCTTGTCCCTGCTATGACTTTCACAAGCAAGTCATAGCCCTACTGTCGAGGCCACACACCCATGGGAGGCCTGGGCTCCTGCCGTATAGGTAGGGGCGTGGGGGGCAGAGAGTAACACAGAGAGAGGCATCTGTGCCCTGAGAAGACAGCGTGGCCACCACCCTGTCAAGGGGCCCAGAGTCACCCAGAGGTCCATCTGACTGTTGCTTAGTTGACTGTACTGGTTTGTAGCAAGACCCAATTCGTAAATTGTAAACTAGGCCTCCATACAAGGAAATGAAAAATTTAATCAAAATTTGGTAAGAGTTAGAGTTCTGATCCCGAAGGAGAACCACTAGCCTGTGTGCCAAAGAACATGCACAAGTATCAAGGTTAATAGTTTCATTAAATCTTTTTTTTTTTTTTTTTTTTTTTTGGTATCGAGGCCTTGGTGTCTTGCTCAGGTTGGCCTCAAGCAAGCCTCCTGCCTGAGTCTTTTGAGTAGTGAGGATCCCACACCCAGCTGGAGTCGGGTAGCTGCAAACACCCTTGCTGAGATCCTTAACATCACTGGTGTGTGACAAACCAAACGCATGCATGTCAAATGACTCCTGGGTTACCACACTGAACACACTTCTACCTAAAACACAGGTGTGGCCTCTGTTTACAGGGTGAAGTTCCTGCCTGCAGAGGGTGTGGCCAGAGCAGAGCACAGAGCTTACCAGAGGGTGCATCTTGCAGGCACAGCCTGCTCACCCCCCGCCCCCGTGCCCAGCCGAGGCCGAGCACTACGCACTCCCAGATGCACTCACCTCTCCTCCCGCTCCCGCTTCTGCTTCCGAGCATGGCGATCCATCACGCTGGTTCTAGTTCTTGTCTTCTTCCACGAGTAGTAAAATTTCACTAGGCTGGCTATGGATTTATCAGGAAGCTAAATATAAAATAGGAGTTTGTTTTGGGTGAAAGCTGATCTTTAAGCACCAAATGTGTTCAGTAAGAATCATTTGCACATTCAGAAATGTTCTAAGGCACAGCCTTCTTCTCTGGTAAGAAAAAAAAAATCAACAAAATAAATATTCAACCCAATGTGTTTTCAAATTGCTGAAGTTTACTGAAACTGGGTCAATGAAAGATTGTGAAGGCAGACTAAGATGAATTTGTTTTTCCTACAGCTAAACGCTCTTAACATTACTTTAGGTTTTGTTCTTTAAAATTCATCTTAACATAAGGCAAACATCGGATCAGAGGGCTTTTCTGCAGGAGTTCACCAAACGGCTTTCCAGAGTGAAAGCTAAGGAGATTCCCCACAGAGCCAGCACTAATCACTGCCTCCACTTCCCCCTGGGTGCTCACTGCCCCTGGATGGATGGATGGATGGATGGATGGATGGATGGATGGATGGAACCCAACACAAGATTGGGGTGGAGGCCAGGAGAGGGTGCAGCACCGCTCCAGGGCCGGGAATGACCCTGCCAGGACAGTAGGAGATCTGAAAGAAGCATTACTGGAAACAGGGTGTCTATGGTCAAGGGCAAGAGCCATCTCTCAGGCCCCCGGAACACAGATGCTAGGGGAGACAAATACCGGCGGTCTCTTACCATTTGTTGGATTCTATGAAAGGTTTTCCCATGAAAACTAAAGGCTTGCTCAAACAAGACTTTATCTTCTACAGTCCACTCATCTGGGAAAGGGGTAAAGTTGGGCAAATCAGCCAATGATTTTTCAATATTATGCTTATGCCAAAAGAGCATCCCAAGAGCCTAGAAAAGTGATATGAAGGAGACTTTAGACCAAACCACAGAATCAAACACAAAGCTGACGTGATACTGGCAAAATAAAGGCGTATATGATTTTACACTCAGACCAACAAGTAACTGCTTGATTCCTATAAAATGGTAAGTGGAAAATACTGTTCTATGCCCTTTCCCCTCAATATTCTTACTGTGGTAAAATGCACAAAGTTTATCATTTTAGGCTGTCATAAAGTACTGGCCTCTTGCATGGAACATACACATACTGTGTTGGAACCATCTGCACCTTGGGAAACCAAACCTCTGCACTCATTAAACAGTACCTATTATCCTGTCCCCGGCAACCTCCTTCGACTTTGTCTCTGATCAGACTACACTACACCCGTCAGCTAATCAGAACCATCCAGCCTTTGTCCTTGGGATTGGTTTATCTTACCTACTATAGTCTGCAAGGTTCGCACATGGCAGCTAAGGAATTTCCTGCCTTCTCAAGCTGACTAACAAATCATTATATGTATATATCATCGTTTAATCTTTCATCCAGTGGACACTTGATCTCACATTTCAGTTCTTGGGTCCACACCCAGGAGAGGATTCTCCTATCAGTTTGCAAAGGTGCTACTGCACTGTCTTCCCCACCAACAACCTGCTGATCTGCGGTTGGTTCTGCTTGATATTAGCACAGCCATCCCTCTCCGTTACTGTTTGATGAACAACTTTCTCCAGCCTCCCCCTTTCAATCTCCCTGTGCCTCGGCTCGGAGGAGTCTCGAGGTCACAAGCTGCCCTGGCAGGTCTTTCCTCACTCTGCCCGGCCCTGTGTGTCATTCATCTACATATTTCCTGTAAGCCTTCTAGCTTTCTTACTCCTTCATTTCCTGAGTTGCTGTCTTCTTTTATGTTTAGTTGATTACTTGCTGAGAATGTTTAAACTCCCTCCCCTCTCCTCTGGTATATGTACGTGCTGTGTTCTTTTAGTCGCCACAGGGATTACACATCCCATCTAGGATCTGTAACTTTCCATTTTGAGTTTATACCGGTGCAGTTTCAATACTGTACAAAAGCTCAGCACCTTAAACAGTGCTGCCCCACCTCTCAGCTGACACTTTTGTCTCTCAGCATGTTCAGTATACTAAGCCATGGTCTTCAGGACTCCAAGGCTCCTGCGTGAATGATCCAGTAAGATTACCAAGGAGCATTCCTAGTGACAAGGCTTGGTGTGGACATACGTCTATCTTACTTTAAGTCTGCTCAGTTGAGCTGCTCTGATATTTGCATTCATGAGTTCCACAACTTCAGGGAGTCGCATGAATCTCTTCAACAACTGCTGTCTTTCTGTTTTCTCTTTCCGAAACTCCCCCAACACTCGCCATGTTCTCCCACAATACTCATGAGGTCCAATGGGCTGTTGGGTTCTGTTCATGAGAAACTTCTTTTTGTTCCTTAAACTCAATAATTTAAGCTGTTCTGTCTCCAGTTCCCTGATTATTTCTGCCTCTGAATCCCTCTAGTGAATTTTTCATCTGAGTTATCATTTTTAGTTCCAGAAGTTCTTTTTTACTTCATTTTAGGTTTTCTCTTTTTCAGCATTTTAACTCTGCCCATCCATCGTTTTCTTGCAGTTCTCTCTATCTTGCTTGAGTTCTCTGAGCACTTTTACATAGTATGTGCCACTGAGTTTTTCCTTTTAAGGTCCATCCTTTCTGGGTGGTGATCTGTGTTGCCCTCAGGACTAAATGGGCAGCCTCTGCAGGTATTTTCATAACCTACTTCCTTCCCTGGCGCCACACGCTGACTGGCTTTTGGGGACTGTCCTGGGAAGCCCATTTTCCATGGGCAGTCACACAGGGACATCCTAACCTCTCACACCTGCCTTGCCAGAGGGGCTGGGAGACACAAAGGGAGGGGCAGAGGGCCCTGAGTCCTGACGGCAGGAGGCAGGTCACTCCCAACAGAGGGAGGCACTGCACCCCCGTGACACAGAGCAACCGTCAACCCTCAGAGTATAGGTTCCTATATGCTAGAGACAGGGTCTTCTGGTCACCTGGCTCCCGCAAGCCACTTCTGGAATGGTGCAGAGCCCTGTGCTGCAGGGCTGGTGAGGAGACAGGCAGGTGCTACTCGGGGGAGCTACCAATGAAGCCGCAGCCTGCTGCAGACCCTAGACCCTCAAGATGCGCACAACAGACATGGTGTGTGGCGCTGCTGGCGTTCAGGTCCTGGCTCCCCTCTGCTGCCATCCTGGTGTCCACCCACCACGTGCCCTTGTTACCAGTCCCTGTGGCCTTCCATCACTTGCAGTTCTTGAGTTAGAATACAGAGGCCCAGAAACCCTGAATAACCCACTGACTAGTGGCAGCGAAGGGAGGGTGGAAGCAGCATAGCTGGCTCCAGAAGCATCACGCCGTGACACCTCGGGTGGGAGATGAGCAGGGAGTTTACAGAGGCAGACGCTTCACCATTCATAAGGAACAAATTAGAACTAAGAGATAATCCAGCAGTACTCTCCTGCAAAAATCTCCTGCATGACAGTTCTAAACTAAAAATGATCATCTCAAAATGGAACAGGCAAGACCAGTACCCTTAAGCATTCACACTTGTAATCCCAGCTACCTGGGAGGCTGAGACAGGAGGATCACAAGTCTGAGGCCAGCCTGGGTGACTCAGTGACTGCCTGTTTCAAAAGTAAAAATAAACAGAGTCGGGGATGTAGTTAGTTGTTAACCACTTGCTCAACCAATGTAAGGTCCTGGGTTCAATACAAAATACAAAATCAAAACAAAATAAAAAATCCAAACCACTATACAGGTATTATTTAGAAAACTTCCAATAACATTTACAAACATTTTAAAGTTTAAACATTGCTTTTTCTGAACTAGTGTGTGAAGTGTATGAACAGGTTTAGAAAATGAGAAGCCCATTTTTTTTTTGCTTTGGATGATTTCAGAACTACATGAATGTAGACAGCTTTTCTAAAAGCACCTTCAGTGACCAGGGTAAAGCAATTCACAGCCACGCAGAGCTAAGTGAGGGTGCCCACTGTGGAAGCTCTGGGCCCCTTGAGCAGCAGATGAGTGGGAAATGTGGGTGACTTAGAGACTGCCAACACAGACCAGGCCATGGCAGGCACCAATCCCACTTCACATGCTAAAACAGTACTTAGAGCCTGAACACGAGAGGCTGGGGACTGAGCTCAGGGGCATAAGTGCCTGCTTGGCAGGCATAAGGCTGTCATCCTCAGTACCAAAATACCAAAACCTAAGCATGAAATACAATGACCAACACACTGGCAGAAAAATGAGCCTTGTAGTTTTCATATCAAACCTCCAAACAATACTTTTGTAAAAAACCTCAGTCAGACATTTACCCCCGGGAGGTGCGCTGTGCAGTCACCCCGCCGCACCAACTCATCCTGGGTGGCAGACTAGGCCACGACGCCTCCAACTCCACCCCGGGGACCCGCCCTCAACACCGAGGATGGGCAGCCGTTACCTGCTCCATGTTGTACCCGTGCTTCTCCTTGGCGATGGCGATGTACTCGTCCACTGGAAGACAGAGGAGAGACCATCAGAGCGCCAGGTGGGCGGGGATGAGGGCGCCCAGCCCGGAAGTGAGCCCCACAGGGAGGGGCTTACACTGCAGGTCAGCCGGCAGCCACCTCTGCACAGTGAGACTGTAACTACCCTTCAACACATAAACCCAGCAAAAACCTGTGGCTCTATCTAAATTTCCTAAAACTGGTAATACCTTGGGACTGCACTTTGAACAGAAATATGAAGCTGGGGTTGATTTTTACTTTCACTTGAGATTAAAGCATAAGCAACTATATGGGGAGGCTGAGGCAGGAGAATTGCCGTTGAGTTTGAGGCCAGCCTAAGCTACATACATGAGTTCAAGGACATCCTGTGCTACACACCAAGACCTGTCTCAGAAAAAAAAATTCCCCCAGTATGGCCTAAAACGGGGTTTGAACTCATACTCTGGTGTTGGGCGCAGGCGCTCAACATACCATACCCCACCCGGGACTAAGGACCACGCCAGCTTCCGCAATGCACTACGTCCCTCTTTAAATTAGCCAACCCGTGCGCACTTCGTGTTCACTCCGTACTCTGTGGCAACTCCTGATTGGCCACAGCTGGATATGGTAGCCGGAGCCTGCGTCCCATTCCCGCCCTGCTTCCTCATGGCAGCCTGTGATTGGTCACGGCCAAATATATAAACCAGAGCCCGCGTAAATAAACCAGCAGTTAACTGTCGTCCACAAGAGCATCTCCTGTCTCCTGTTTCATTGGGGCTGCGCCGGTCACTCTGGTAGAAAAGGGTTCTGCTACTGCTCAAGCACTGCAGAGACACCAAGGAAAACACACTGGCTATACCCCAGGAGGGGTTCCTGCCCTGTACAGGACAGATGTCCTCAAGGACACGCAGGTCCTCGTCCCATGGTACCGCCCATGCTCACACATGACCTCCCGTTATGAGTCAGAAAACAACACAGGCTAACACGGTAATAAAGTAACACAGAACTCTCCGAAGTGAATAAAATAGAGTGCCACTCTTTTGGACCCTAAATCTCACTCTCCAGGCACAGTGACAAAGACAGAGAACAAGAGGCTCTGAGTGATCCCTGTCCACAGCCACACTGAGGTGGTCAGAGACCCCCAGTCCAGGCTTCCGCCACGGTAGCCTGCTGACCCAGCCGCACCCCGCCCTGCTTCTCCTGCCTATCACTGACAACCAGCACGTGTGTTCTGCTTCCCAGCGAGCATTCCACCACTTGGGAAAACATTTCCCACTGACAAAGGAAAGCCCTAATTCCCACAGCAACACTACAGTGCAACTCAATGCTAATTTGATTCTAAGGCACTAACTTGCTATTTTTCTATATTTAAAACACATACAAATTTGCTGGTTCCTTCTGCAAAAGTCCAATTAACTTGAATGTCAGCAGAAGTCCAATTAAACTGAATGACCTTGGTGTGAACAGAAAAGCTGGCACTGCTCTATAGGGGTGCAGGAGTCTAGAGTCTTCCTTGCTTTTTCCTTCACAATAGGGTACACTCAGTACCTGTCACATTGTCCCTCTCACACTGATCATGGGCCCACTCTGAGGTCCAGTCCCCTCCCCAGTTAGCTAACAATGATGAGGGAGCTGAACCCACCTGGGGTTCAGTGCAGGTGTAAGGCTCAGTCGGGGTAAATACTTGGCTGGGACAGGACGCTGTCCACAAGGCGACACTGCTTCCCAGAGGAGCGGCCTGACAGTCCCACTGCTTGCCTGAGGTCATCTGCATGACCCCAAGGCTGCAAGGGAGTAAGCACTGCGGGCCGTGGGGCCTGAGAGGGACTCTGCCTCTGAGCTGCCTTCTGCACGCCAACGTGCAGCGAAGCTTCAGGAACACGGGTGTGCCGAGTGGGTGCTGGGGCTGGGACACGCTCACTGTCACCATCTTGGGCTTTCTGTCTAGCAAGTCAAGGCAGCACAGGTGAGGTGTGGGCAAGAGAGGCCCAGACCTAAGCCTGGCTCCACAGCGCCTGGCCTAGCCCCAGCCACTTCCTTGGCTGTTCCAGTGTTGAGTAAAAATCACAGGAGGCTGCTGTTCTGGACTGAGCGACCAAACTAGAGACCAAAAGACCTAAAGAGCCACCCAACTTCTGAGGAGCAGAAAGAAGCTTCCCAAACTGTCCAGTTTCCCACGACACATTAGCGCACTCCCAGGTTACTGAATCAGACCTCTCCTGCTCCAGCTTCCCCCAGACCTCATCCCTTTTGGTTTCCGCTTCACCAAGCCCTTCCCTGTGGACAACACCGGCCCCTCTGCTTGGCTTCCCACTCCACTTGGTGGGCTGCAGCGTGCTCCAACTCTGGCTCCCGCTCTTCCAGTGTTCTTTGTTTCCTAACAGGAGACTTGGGCTTTCACAAGCAACCCAGCCCACGGCCTGAGAGGGAAGCCGGGCTGCCTCCCTCCCACTCTGCTCCTCCACAGAGAGCACCTGCTGCTGCCTCCCACACACTTCCTTAAGGAAAGCAATGGAAGCTTTAAGTCCGAAAAAAGAAATGTCACTCCCCGTGCCCCGCGGGCTGCCCAAGCATGGGCACTGGTACTCCCAGGACACCTTCTCGGCAGCAGCGCCCCACTCTGCCCCAGTCACCCCAACCTGTGGGCAGCTGGAGACCACACAGCTCGTTCCCCAGCGCCATGCCCAGCCACAGGGCCAGCGCCCAGCATGCAGTGGGTCAGCAGGGAAGCAGTTGGCAGGCCACCTGCACTCTGCTCTGCTAGCAGCTGTACTGCCCCGTAACTCGATCCTGCGCAGCTCGACAGTTCTTACCTAGGAACTGCGGAGAACCATCTGACCTCACTGCTGATGGACACAGACACGTGCAGCTGGGCTGCACAGGAACAAGGACTGAGGACCTGGACTCTGGTTTCAGTTGGTGTTTTAAGACAGGGTCTTACCATGTTACACAGGGACAAACCCCTGCACTCCAGTGACCCTCCTGCCTCAGGCTCTCACACCAGGACTAAGGCTCATGGCACTGTGACTGGCTCTTTCACAGCTTCTTAGGTGGCAGCACAGGTAAGTGAGAGCTCCTTCATCAAGAGAATGCATACAATTGCTGAAGCCCACTCACTTTTTGAACAATACCTACTGTGTACAGAAAGTTGTGTGCACAGCAGACAGCGTGGGAGGGTGGAGCCAAACGAGGGTCCTGCAGCAGCCCGAGGCTCACACTGTGAGCAGTAGTGTGGCTAGGGTAGCACAGAGTTCGAGGACCCAGAGCACAACAGTGACTCCTGAAAACCTTGAGTGTGTGGTGGTGGCCCTGGTGTGCCTCCTGCCCAGTTTGACACTCACGCCATAGCCAAAAACCCACACATGCAAACCCTACCAAAAACCAAGGAAAAGTTAGTTCCCTAACCTGCTCCTGAGACTGACAGGACAGCGAACAGCTGGGCAGCCCACGTGGTCAGGACAGTGACTGGGGAGCCCCTGTACACTCCAGGCCACATGGACAGGATAAAGGACGGTGCAGAAATGGGGTGAGGAGCAGCCAGCCACTTGTGCTGAGCTTATCGGTCCCTTTCCCCATCTCAACCCAGGTGGGCAGCACCGCACAGGAGGAAGCGCGGGTCCGCAACACCATGACCACAGCTCACCCCACCTCGCCAGGCAATGCAGAGACAGAGGCTGACATGGCAATGTGGCCAAGGAGGGGTTTCTAGCCTCAGCAGGGCCTTGGAGGGACTCTTACTATCACAGCATCTGCATGAACAACAGACATGCAGAAGAAACATGACAGCAATTTCTCTAATTCAAAATAGCACATGGAATTAAAAAACATGTATAAAAAACAAGTATCGTGGAACCTTTTTTATTACTCAAATGAGGGATGGATGATCACTGTGACTCACTGGGAAGCCAAAGAAGCACAAGTCACTTCTGTGACACAACTCTGCCACCTGGCGAGGTTGGACGTCACTGCAGCCCACAGCAACTCCCTCTGCAGAGCTTCCCAAGGGAGGGGTGCCAAGAACAGGCCTGCGTCCTTCCAGGATGGCAAGGACACACTTGCTTCCCAAAAGATGCAGGTTCTGAATGTGGTTCGGTTTCTGCACCCTCCTCCCTGGTCTCACAGACACCATAATCTGGAAAATGAGCAGCTCCAATGCCCATCCTGAGCACGCACCTCCATCCAGCTCTGTAGCCACCAGCCTCAGCGCCCCAGTCCCCCCCCCCCCCCAGCAGTAAGAGTGTGGGCTGTTAGGATCCTAAAAGCTGCTTCCAGGGCAAACACTGCACAACTAGTTCTTAAAACTTTTAAGTGCTGGGCCAGGGATTTAGCTCAGTGGTGAAAGTGCCTGCCTGGCAAGTGCAAAGTCATGAGTTTGAGCCCTGGTACAAAAAAAAAAAGCCAAACCAAAACTCCCTGTTAAATGTAGATGTTTTTCCTCATGAAGAGAATGAGAGAATGACAGCACCCTCTGCCTTCGCCCAGGATGTGTACAGCACCCACTGAGAAAGCCCCACATATGAACTCCCACAGTCATTAGAACGCCACTCAGCTATGACTAATAAAAACAACACGCACCTTTCTTCTTAAAAATTCTCAAAACAAGTCAGGCACGCCGCACAACTGTAATCCCAGCACTCAGGAGGCAGAGGCATGAGGACTCCTGTGAGTTCAAGGCCACTCTGGACTATATAAGACAGGTAAGACCCTGTCTCAAGAACCAAACCAAACCAAACAAACCCCAAAGCAAAATGAGCACAGCAATACCCTTGCATGGAGTCTCTGAACTTCTAGCAACCTTGTGCTCAGATCAGAATCTTCACTCACTGCCTCATCCACTGCTACATACACTTAGCTTTGCAGTGCGAGAGACAGGAGAACTAGGACCTACGTTCCCTGGCTCAGGGAGGGGAGGAAGACACAGAGGCAGAGACGCTGCTCGCTGTGCTCGGGCTGTGGTGTGAAGCTCTCGGCTTCCACTGAGAACCTGCAGCAGGGTACGTGGGGAGCTTTCCTAAGCTGCACAATAGG